GGGGGGGGTTTGTATGAATTACTATTTTATTTCATGATGAAATTTACTACCACGGAAATATCATGAAGCAGTTCAACTTTTACTTTCGTTTTCTCTTTTCTGATTCAGGTTGAACCGTCGCAGATCCCCGGAACTGTTTTGTTTTGCTTCTTTGGAAGTCAAGTTTTTCCCCCGAACCAGCAGCGACCAAACAGACGTGAGCATGTTCAAGAGCGGGCCGAGCTACACCAAGCTGAAAACCAACCTGAGGCTGATCATCAACAGGCTCAAGTTACTGGAGAAGAAGAAGACAGAGATGGCTCTCAAGTCCAGGAAGGAAATTGCAGACTACATCTCGGCTGGGAAAGAGGACAGGGCCCGCATACGTGTAGAACATATCATCAGAGAAGACTACCTAGTGGAAGCCATGGAGCTGCTGGAAATGTACTGCGACTTGCTCCTGGCTCGATTTGGTCTCATACAGACACAAAAGTAGGTCAACTCCAATCTCTCATATTTTGTGAAGTTGTTGGTACATCTTGATTATATTTGCGAGGCGTCCTGGTGAAATCAGGTGCTCGTCCAAATGATAAAATCAAAGATATCAGCATTTTTCCTCCAGTTTCACAATTTTTTCCTAATTTTTGTTTTTTGGCCCAACACCTTTTATGTCCATTTAAAACCATTATTTCTGTGTGGATTTTACGGAAAAACATTTATTAAAAGCACAACAAATGTAAATGTTTTCCAAGTACTGTCAAACTTTGGAAATCACCAAATTTTGGTGGCCATTTTTTGCTACTTTTACCTCTGAAACCAGGCTCCTCGAGCTCCTTCAATTGCAAATACCTCATCTTCAAGTGAAGATAGGCCAGTTTTTAAAAAAAAAATCAAAAGATGATCAAATGAACAAGCTTTGAGGTAATACCAATAACTCCAGATATGCCCAAAAGTTGACGAGGGCCTGATTCTACCGTGTGGTGACACATTTAATTCTATTTCAATTGTAGTTCTTTGAAAATTCTTGAGGCAAAAACATTTTTTTCTAATTGAAATGATGAGAGAAGACTCTAATGCTTGCCCTAAAAAATCTCACTCTATTTATAGTGAATTTGGGCGCACGCTGCCATCTGATGATTTTTTCATTTTATTTGAGGACTTGCAGATCAGCCTCGGCAAAGATTTTGGAACAAACAAAAAAGATTTGATCTATCTTTTCCAGTTTCATGGTTAGATGTCTTGAATATTTTACACTTAAATGATTAGAGCATGATGACCCTATGTATATTTGACACTTAGATTGTTAGAACATGATAAGATAATTTATATAATTTGATACTTACATGTTTAAGACATGGTAACAATTTAGATATTTGATACTTGTGCTGTACCCCACAGGGAGCTAGACCCAGGGCTAGAAGAAGCAATTGCAAGCATCATCTGGGCAACCCCACGACTGCAAGCTGACGTCCAAGAGCTGAAGTCAGTGGCGGAGGAGTTTTCTCACAAATATGGCAAGGAGTTTGCCCAAGCCTGTAGAGGAAACCAGCTCAGTAATGTCAGCGAAAAGGTACGCAAAGTTCAAATTTAAAGGGTTGTTAGGTTGGGGTTTCGTTTGGTGGCATCAGTGGCCTAGTGGTTAGGTTACCGGACTTGTAATCATGAGATTGCAGGTTCGGGGGTTTGAGCCAGGGGGCCGACGTTGTGTCCTTTGGAAAGGCACTTTACATGAATTTTCCTCACTTCACCCAGGTGGGAATGGGTACCTGGCTAAAGACAGCGAAAGATCTTGTCAATATGTTAGTGTTTGAGCACCTATAAATGGTTGCTTGTACTGTATGCTTCCCAGGAAGTTGAGGTTGCAGGTCTGCTGGGGTAGTAGTGTAGACTGTGAAGCGCTTTGAGCTTGTTGTTGAGCGAGGATTTGTGCTTTTCAAATGCTATCTATTATTATTATTGTTTTTTTTCATGTTGCACGTTCTGTTCAAGTTTCATGGACGTGATTTCTTTATGCTTTTGTTCAAGATATTGATTGAGAAAGGCTGGAATCAAAATATGTCCTGGCTGCACTTTTAGACAGATAGATTAAAGAGTTCTTCTGTTGTTCTTTTACCATTGTTACTTTTCCAAGCCGAGCAAGTTTCCTTCCAGTGATGGTTTTCTATTCCGTTCATTGTCCCCACACTGTTATATGCAAGTTTCTGATTAGGGAGGCACGTTCTGGAGCCATCGATGAGCACAATAGTGGCAGAAGGTTCTGGAACCATTACTGACAGATTTGGTTTTTCCATTTTTCTAGTTGTTTCTGGGGCATGGTTTTTTAAAACTCTAAGAAAAGTAATTCTTCTTGTGAACTTCTTGTGAACTTGTTGTGCACTTGTATTGTCTATTGAACCCCGTATTAGTTGTGTCTACTCACTGCCTTTTTGTCTGCTAATGAAAGTTTTCATCTGTTTAGGTATTGTCACCAAGTCCGCGGGGCTCCCCTGATCAGACTGTTGTTATCACCGTCTGTGTTTCTACCAGTGTTGTCCTTTGTGCCTATGGCTCTTGTGCTTGGTCCTACGGTTCTTTCAGTCGGTGACTGATTCTCTCTTCTGGCGTGACTCTGTTTGTTTTGTCCATGTCCCCTTCACCAGGTGATGCATAAGTTGAACGTGTGTGTTTTGTGAGTGTCCCCATCACCAGGTGATTCACAAGTTAAGCGTGTGTGTTTTCCCCATCACCAGGTGATGCACAAGTTAAGTGTGTGTGTTTTCCCCATCACCAGGTGATGCACAAGTTAAGTGTGTGTGTTTTCCCCATCACCAGGTGATGCACAAGTTAAGTGTGTGT